AATAATATCACAATAATTTTTTAATGTTTTTGTTATTATTTTATTATTATAATATAATTAACTTTGATATTATTTTAATATTTTAATCTCAAAAATACCTCAAATATATCTTGATATATTTTAAAAATTTTACAAAATAATTGCACAATTGTTTTGAAAGCCATTGTATCTAGGTCTATAAAAATATTTCAAAAAATTGGCCATTTTTAGTAAAGTTATAATAAACGAAGAAAGAGATTTGAAAGATACAGAGCATAAAACGTTGGGAAAAACTGCATTAAAAAATGTGGATTGGATTGGCTTTACATTAGATTAATTACAAAAAGTTAAATACTTTTAATGTATAATCATTTTTATTATTATATTAAGAAAGCGGTTAATAGGTTAAATCATGTATCAAAATTTTTTTGCTCATTAAAATATTGAGATTGTTTTATATTCGATTGAAAATTTAGAATATTTTAGTAGTTATTTCATTTTGTGATTGGGTTTTCATGCAATATATTGGTTTTTAATAATACATAGAAATAATAATTAATAAAATAAATTAATATGCATATATATAATAAACTGAATTTGTGATATTTTAAAGATGCTATCAACGTTGATTCATCATTAAAACTTGGCTTGTTTAATATTTGATATCAATTCAAGCGGTTTATCGCATAGTTCTGTATTCGTATCGAACATAGGTGACTACTCAACAAACCGTCATCATTATTATACGATACTTTATACCTTTTAAAAAAAATTCTGAAAAGATTCCGATAAATAATCATTTTTCTAGTTTTCATTCTGAAGAAACTCAGACATGAAATATGTTGATAACACGCTCATTGATGGGTCCATAATTATTATAAATGATAAAAAAGATTTGAAAATTACTGATCACAAAACGTTGGGCAAAAAAGCATTCAAGAATGTGAAGTGGATTGGCTTTACATTAGATTAATTACAAAAAGTTAAATACTTTTAATGTATAATCATTTTCATTATTATATTAAGAAAGCGGTTAATAGGTCAAATCGTGTATCAAAATTTTTTTGCTCATTAAAATATTGAGATTGTTTTATATTTGATTGAAAATTTAGAATATTTTAGTAGTTATTTCATTTTGTGATTGGGTTTTCATGCAATATATTGGTTTTTAATAATACATAGAAATAATAATTAATAAAATAAATTAATATGCATATATATAATAAACTGAATTTGTGATATTTTAAAGATGCTATCAACGTTGATTCATCATTAAAACTTGGCTTGTTTAATATTTGATATCAATTCAAGCGGTTTATCGCATAGTTCTGTATTTGTATCGAACATAGGTGACTACTCAACAAACCGTCATCATTATTATACGATACTTTATACCTTTTAAAAAAAATTCTGAAAAGATTCTGATAAATAATCATTTTTCTAGTTTTCATTCTGAAGAAACTCAGACATGAAATATATTGATAACACGCTCATTGATGGGTCCATAATTATTATAAATGATAAAAAAGATTTGAAAATTACTGATCACAAAACGTTAGGCAAAAAAGCATTCAAGAATGTGAAGTTGATTGGCTTTACAAAAGATTAATAGGCTATCCCAGATTTCCAGTAACATTAAACGAATTGTGTAACTATGTAGATATCACCATAGTTATAAAGAAAATTTTAAATTGACAGTAAAAACAATTTTTTTCCTTTAAACTAACCTTTGTTTTAAATATGGAATTAATAATTATCAAATGTAATTTGTATAATTTTTATAAGAATAAAATTGAAATTGTTATGTGTTGAACACGTCATGATGAATGTTGTAGCATAGCCTCATTAAACATATCCAACTGAATCGTTCGTAAATTTAGAAAAATTGTCAGTTAATTTATTTGTCCTACTTTTCAAAAATTATTGAAAGAAAAATATATTGTATGAATCACTAGTGCAATTATTTTCAATTTATTATCTAATAAACAATTTGTCACGCTTTATAAGGATGGATGTTCAGGACTGTCGGCGCAAAACTCATGAAATTATGAAGAATTTAATTGGTTTCTTCATTATAACAAGAGTTGTGAATGGTTAAATATTATGTGAGAGTAAAAATTCGTTATTTTGCGAGTTCGTTATATCGAGAGCTGACTGTATGGTTTATTTTCAGATTATATATATAATTTTTTACATCAAAAACAGACCATAACTTATTAATCACAATCATTGCATAATCGATAATTTATTATTATTATTTTTTTTTGATGCATCGCATAATATATTAGCAAAATATAAAAGCTCGAGATAAAGATATAACATTTTCTCTTTATATTGATATAAAGCTAAAACAATTCCCATCTCATAAGAGTAATAGAATTATATCAATAGTGATACTGGATATGTTAACTTTCTATATATATAGCAGTGTTGGCCAGTGACCCAAATGACCTCAAATGACTCAAATGACTGGTCACGTGTCATTTGGATCATTTCAACATTAAATGACAAATGACCTAGTCATTTAAAAATTACATCATAATTCTGGCCAGAACTATTCATACAATTTCACTATTTCATGAATAAAATTTTCACATGATATTAGAAGTTCATAATTCTGGCCGGCATCATTAATTTGGCCTGAATTATAAAGCATTAATTTTAAATGACTCAAATGACAAATGATCTAAATGACTAGGTCATTCGAAGGTCATTCAGAGGTCATCTCAAAATGGGCAAATGAACTAGTCATTTGCTATCACTGATATATAGTATATCTATCATAAATCCTTTAAATTTGAAAATTATATTTCAAGAAATTCTGAATCAATCAGTGTTTTCGCTTTTAATTTCAGAATATTCATCTTGATTATTATCCGCTTCTGCTTCACTAGATTTATCTGAAGTCAGAGCTAAAATTGATAAAAGTAAATTATTAAATACGTTATTCAAACAAAAAGCAATATTATTATAAGGAAATAAAATTTGTGCGCACCCGCACATGTGCGCACCCCTCCATTTTTGGTAATTTTTATATAGTAAATTTGTCGATCATTATTTATCACGTGACTTTAGTAAAATCCCGATTTTTTTAAATATTCATGCCACAACTCTTACGTACATATTATAGAGCCTTAATAATTTATTTACTATGCGTATTTTTGCCTATTCTACAACTTTACTTAATGAGCCATGAAGGGTTTAGAATGTCATTTTTGACTTTTATATATAATATATCCATGGGGATGTGCATATGCGCAGGTGCGCACAAATTTTAAACCCTTATTATAATTGTGATTACTAAGGTATAATCTTTTGTTGCTTTTTGACATATTTTCTCTAAAATTCTTTAAAGATTTTTCCTAAATCACAACATCAAATTACGAATTATAAAAATATTTAAATATATTTTAAGCTAGTAAAAATTTATATAATTACCTGACAGGTAGCAATTTTTAATTTACTTGCAGAAACAGCATTTAATAAAATCCAATTATCTTCATTAACGGAAGGAAAAGAACGGGTAATTAAATCATTAATAGCTTCAGAAGTATTTTCATTAAATAATACATTTTCTATAATGAATCCATTATCCCTCATTTCAACCCAAACTGAAGTATTTTCTCTTGGAGCTGAATTATTTTCCCAACTTCTTTGTGTAAACAATAATATGTGATTAAGATAAAGTGAAACGTTAGCAGGTCGACTTCTAGAAGCAACTATACTATACTTGTAACCGAAACCTTTTCACGTGATTTTTGGCCACGTCTTTAAATCAAAATTAAGTTAAAAAATGATAAAAATTAATCTCTACATCCAGCCGAAACTATAATATAAAGTCTTTGGAGTTTCGGATGGATTTTTGGATAGTTTTTAATAATTTATTATAATTAAATTACTGAAAGTCCGAAACCCTGTCCAGCTTCATAGAGGTTTCAGCTACATGTATAAACTATACTAGGTGAATTGTGATTCTGAAATTTTGACTGATTTCTTTTCCTCTTTTTAGTAATCGGCATATGTCTATTTTTAATGGCTTCTTCTCTTAACCTAGAATCTTCGGAATTATTAATACTTGATGTTAATATGTATGATGGCAAATTACTTTCAATATTAATCGAGCCAGGAACGATACTTGGTGAGGTATTCTTGTGAAATGCAGTAAAATGATCACAATATTTGCATTTCAATTCGTTATTAGGATTAGCCAAAAAAGCTTGACATTCACAGGAAACTCCATCTTTTTGACAAGCTTCTAATAATGGCGTTGAAGTATTGTGAGGTGCAGGAGAAAACCCGGTATGAAACGCATTATAATGATGGCAATAATAACATTTCTCTGGATTATTCTCATCTTCTTTATAAGTTTGACAACCACAATATTTATTGTTAAAATTACAAACACCAAGTGGGAACATTTTTCCTTAAACAAAAGAAAAAAAGAAAGAAATTCTTTGTACAATCATTTGTTAAAGATATATTTATACTTTTAAGTAATAAATACGCATTCAGCAGATTGCAAAACTGTAAATAATGGTGGCATGGTCTGAAATATGGATTGGCGCAGTGGAAATCTGAATTGCAAATGCATACTGAGTTGCCTTAATTGCAAACATTCCTTGTGAAAACAGAAAAACTTGTTTATTTAAAACCATATAAATTAGCTTTCATATGTCTTAGAAAAAGATGGTACATTTAAGGGTCCAGTATATTACGTTATCCCCTATATGGCAAAAAATTGGAGATCATCTTTTTCTTACTTTCGTTACAAGAAAAAATTTTTTAATATTTTTCAAACTCCTGCTTAAAAATATCTGTTAGAGAGTCTGGTTTTTCAAATAAACTTTAAAAAAGTATAGTATAAATATAGTTTACAACGAAAAACTACTATATGAAGTTAACAGTAGTTGCGAATTCTCTAAGGTAAGTTGCGAATTCTCTAATTAGACTAACTTTAAATTAACTTAAAACTTGCGAAACTTTGAGACTTAATAATATAGTAATTAGTTAAATAATTTATATCAAAAAATTAGAAAGCATCATATTCAAATAAAAATTTTTACTAATAACATTTTATTTTTTTATTATCTTAATAAGCGTATTTGTTCCTTTAAACTAAATACAAAATATTTCATGTGTTGTGAAGTAATAATTAGATTATTATAATTTTATAATGAAATGGAAAGGCAAATAAATTAATTTAATAACCTTGAATTATATATTTGGCGTTTGTGGAGTTATTATTTATTTATTTTTAATGTACAATATCAATCAAGCAAATGGTATTTTCATTAAGTTTTGTCCATAAAAATATATAGAAATATTAATAAATGGTTAAAATGTAGATAGGATGCATTATATTTATTATTTGAACGTATATTTAATAAAATTCATATGGTAGGTTGGGAAATATTTTATTTTTCCAAGAGTTTTCTCGTCAATTTCATGGTCACGTGATCATATAAAATGATCGTCATATGGTCATATACAAATGATGATGTAATATACTGGACCCTTAAGACAATAATGATGAGGACAAAAGACTTAGAAAATGTCTAATTAGTACTTCACTTACTGAATTGACGCGTCTCTTAATCAACTACTAAGAAGCAATTATGAAGCTAATCTTCTATTGACTTCAAATTAGAAACATTTGGTGATCGTGTAAAAGTGATGACCATAGTAAATTTCGCTAACTTTGTAAAGTTAGAATATTTTGTGTAACATTACATGGTATAAATATAGTTGGCGATGCTTGCAATTCTTTATGATTCATTGTCAGTTGAATTCTATTAAAATTCATTTAAAATGCAGTGGATTGAAGATTCAATTAATAAAAAATTTCTCAAATTATACGAATTTGAAGAATTTAAAAATGTTAATAAAATTTATGATGGTCAATG